AAAGGATTACAGACACACAATAGGACAGATTCAGACAAAAGAAACTTCTAAACGATTTACAATGCATTTAAAAATATCTGTAGGCTTGGGAGAGAAAAGAAAAAGGATAAAGTCCTTAAAATAAAAAAAAGGGAGTAATTGGGTGCAGTGGCACACACCTTTAATTCCAATACTTGGGAGGCAGAGGCAAGCAGATCTCTGTGAGTACAAGGACCTACCTGGTCTACAGAGTGAGTTCCAGGACAGCAAAAGATACACAGAGAAATCTAGTCTCAAAAAAACACAAAAGTTAAAAATAAAAGAAACAGAACTTAAAATAAAGCCACATAAAGATGAAAGATATAGAGAGAGTCTGGATGTTATTGTGTTGTCTTTGAATTGTTTGATGGCTGAGGAGGGAGCAAAAGCCGCTAAAAGATATTTGATTATAAATGCTGCTGGATTAATTCAATATACATATATATATATATATACTTTGGAAATGCCTTGACTTCAAAATTTAAGCCAAAAGGTATGTTACTTTGGAGAAAAGGTTTTGATTTTGTTTCCACCGGAAATAAGAGGCTGTGAATTCATTCTGGGCTAAGAAATATCAGGTTTGATCAAGGAAGACCCCCTGAGGAATCTCCAATATGAGCAGATGGCCCAGATGATGCAACATTTCAGAGGATCTCTGCTGGAGTTTCCTCTGAGTTCTGCATCCAGAACAGTTTCAAGACTGCTGGCTGAGATGATCAGGCCTCACAGAATTTTCTAGTCAGGACTTGACCATAATCTTAAATTTTCTTTAGGTCCCCATAAGATTATCAGTGCCCTCAATCAGCACAAAGTAGCTTTGCCCACATTTGCCAAAAATGGATTCTAGATATTTATCTTTGTTTAGATTGTTGGTTACAGGCTGTTATAAATAATGGTCTGGAGAAAAAGCTAAAGAAAGGATATTAGATTCAGAGTTCTTGGGGTTTTTATCCTTAAAAAAGGGGGGAGGATGCTGTGGGACAATGGTTTTACCCTGTAAAATTTGTTTCTTGCACTTGTTTAATAGAATGCTGATTGACCAGTAGCCAGACAGGAAGTATAGGAGGGGCAAGGAGAAGGAGGATTCTGGGAAGAGGAAAGTTCAGTCTGCATTTGTGACCCAGCTACAGAGGAAGCAATCTGAGACAGACTCAAGGATAAAGGTCCCAAGTCACATGGCTAATAGAGACAAGAATAATGGGCTAGTTTAAGATGTAAGAGTTAATTAATAAGAAGCCTGAGCTACTAGGCCAACCAGTTTATGATTAATTAGACCTCTGAGTTTTTCTTTGGGGTTGAATGACTGCAGAACCAGAGGTACAGAAACCTCCATCAACAACTACTAGAAGAAAACCTGAGCGCCATGAACGTGCCGTGGCGCACATACGGAATTCAGAGGACAGCCTCGAGTGCTAGTTCTTGCCTTTTACCTTGTTTGAAAACTGGGTCTCAGGGACTGGAGAGATGGCTCAGTGGTTAAGAGCACTGGTTTTTCTTCCAGAGGATCTGGGTTCAATTCCCAGCACCCACATGGTAGCTCATAACTGTCTTTAATTCCAGTTCCATGGGACCTAACACCCATGGTAAAACATCAATGTGCATAAAATATAAGTAGGCAGACAGACAGACAGTTAACAGAATCTCTGTCTATCAGCTGTTCACTGCCACACATCACTCTCTGCCTCAGTCATTAAGTTTGTGTGGCAAGTCTTTTCCCCATAAAGCTACTTCACCAGCAAATGATTCTTCCTTTAGTACTGGAATTTTGTTGGTGGTGGTAGCTTTTGGGAACATGATTTCATGTATCTCTGCCTAGCCTCAATTCATTATATAGCTAAAGTTAGCCTTCGGTTCCTGATATTCTTACTTCTACACTTCCTGACTGCTAAGAAGTCATGAGCTACCATAGTCAGCCACTCAGAGGATTCATTCCAGAAAATATAAGTGATTCAAACACTCAGTATCAAAATACAATTTGTTTTTAAAATGGGTAAATAACCTGTGGATAGACATATTTAAGAGCCAATATACAAACAGCAAAACAATATATGAAAAAGCTTGATATCACTAATCATCAAAGTCAAGACAATTTTCTCAACCCTGTAAGGGTTACTAATAAAAAGATTTCAAAATGGCAAGTTCTAATGAGATGTGACAACGTGGGGGTAATACTGCAGGACTAATAATAAACATAGAATCAGTACATGAAACAGGACACAGGTTCCTTGGAAAACTAAAAGCAAAACCTCTTATAATGGGAAAATCCCACTACTGCTGCATATCTAAAGGAAATAAAGTCCATTTGCCAAGGCAACATCTGCATTCTTCTGTTTACTACAGAATATTCATGACAACCAAAAAGGGAGTCACTCCAGGTATCCACAGATAGGTGAGAACAGAGTGGTCACCCAAACCTGACAAGGGCATAGCAATGAGAAGAGAGTGGTTAAGGGTGTGGGAGATACAGGTGAATGGGTGGAAGAACGTCTAATGGCCTGTAGAACAGAAATAGTAACTATGATTTACAAGTAACTGTGTATTTCAAAAAGAGCAGAGAGCATGTTCCCAGTACAAGGGAATAATAAATGTCAGATTACCCCGATCTGATCATTACACACTGTCTGCATGTGCTGAACTTCACAGCTGTCTGACAGTTTAAAATGTGTGTTTTACAAAGACTATGGTACTAGCATTACGATGCATATAGAGACCAATAGAATAGAATTGAGAACAAATAAATACACTCTTATGACTTTAAGTAGCTGATTTTTCAACAGATGTGACAACTGAACAGGAAAGATTAGTCTTTTCAACAAAAGAAGTAGCGATTATCTGGATATCACAAGCAAAAGAATGAAACTGGAGTCCACTTCTCATCTATACAAAAATTAATTCAAATTGAATAGAAGATCTAATTATAAGAGCAAGTATAAAACTCTTAGAGAAAAATACAGGCATATGTCTTCATGTGTTGGACTGGGCAATCCTTCACCAAAGACAGCCCAAACAAAGGTGCAGTGGTGTGCACCTACAATCTCGGCACCTGGGCAGTGGAAGAGGAAGACCCACAAGCCTGAGGCCATCCTGGACTGCATAGTAAGAACTGTATTTAATTTAATAAAAAAAATTTTAAACTTTTTTTTTTAGATAGGTCTCACTATGTGGTCCAAGCTGGCCTGGAACTTGCAATGTTCCCACTTTCACCTCCTAAATTGTGGGATTACCACACCTAGCAAAATTTAAAACGTTTTCACATCAAGTATACTACCAACAAAGTAGAAAGATAAGCCACAGAATAAAACAAAGTATTACAATCATATTACTTCATAAAGGTCTGCTAGCCAGAAGGAAGACTTAAAATTCATCAGTAAAAAAGACAAACCAACTAAAACATAGACATAGACTCTGAATAGGCAGTTGCCCAAAGAATGCATACAAACAGCCAATAAGCACATGAAAACATGCTCATGACACTGGTAAATGCAAATCAAAGTCACGGTGAGATACTACTACACATCCACAAAATGGCTGTAATTTAATAAAAGAGACAGGTGCTGAAAAGGATGAGGAGGAACTGGAACCCTCACGCGTTGCTGGAGGGAACATAAAATAGTAGAGCCACTTTGGAAAACAGTGAGGCAGTTCCTCAAAAAAACACAGTTTATCACATGATCCAACAATTCCACTCCTACATATATACCCGAGAGAACTGAAAATGTTCACACAAAAAAATATATACAAATATACATAGCAGCAATATTCAAGGTAGCCAAAAAAAAGTAAAAACAACCTAAGCATCCATCGACTGTTGAATGAATAAATAAAATATGGTATTACTTATGTAATGGAATATGATTCAGCCATAATGAGGTATTAATACATGCTATAATATGAATGAACCTTGAGTATCTTATGTTAAATAAAATGTCAGACATAAAGGTCACACAGCATACACATCCATTTTGGGGAAATATCCAGGGTAGTCAAATCTTTTGAATCAGCAAGTAGATTAGTGGTTGCCAGAGGTTAGAGATCCAAGAGAGTACAGAATGAGTGGTCAGAGGGTATGTGGTTTCCTTTTAAAGATGAAAATTAGACATATCACTTTATGCATGCACTAAAGATCTCTCAATTTCACTTTAAAAAGGGGAAAGCTTATGCTAAAAGAATTACATTGCAACAAAATAATATGAAAAAATCCCCATACCAACTATTCTCCTCATCAGCATCCAGAACATGAGTTTAAGAATACAGCTACCCTTCTCTTAGCACTGCGGTGGCCACCCACCTCACCAGCAGGAAGTCAATGTTCTCACCTTAGCCTACAAGGATGCTTGTATGTTTTCTCAGACAGGGTTTCACTGCATGACTCGGGCTGACCTGGAACTCTGTAGATCAGACTAATTTTGAACTCATAGTGATCAGTTTACCTCTATCTGTCTGTGTTGGGGTTTTACAAAGTCTATTACCCTTCCTTTTCCACCTATAACTTTGCACCTATTGCCCAACTTCCACTGGAGTCATACTGGTCTCTTGACTTCTGGTTACCATACTCGTCTTCCCCTTCTGGGTTTTTCTGCCTAGAACACTTCTTCCATCTATGTACAATGGCACCGAAAGGTCTTTCAAATGCCAACAGAAATGTCATTTTCTTTTAAACCCTCACCTGTCCATTCTGTTTAAATAGCACTCTCTCATTTATTTTGCTTTCCTCATAAAACTAATTATACTTTGACATATTATGTATTAAAATTACATGATTACTTATTTTCTATCTTACTAAACTATACTATAAACTCCATGGGAAAAAAAACTGGTTTTGTTTGGGATCATATTCTCATATTCTTAAGTAATATCTGCAAACCAGCAGATTCTCAATGAAATCCATTCAGTGAGTGAATAAGCCAATCTATTAGAATGTAAAGGAGAAAGTCACAACTAAGGTGCTAAGTGTTCTTATCATGTCAGTGGGAACCTCTCACCTGTTCCAGGTTAGGGTACTGCACACGGCAGTAGCTGCAATACCCTTGTCTTTTCTGCATCTTAACTAGTCAGTCAGGAGGCTACTGGCCTCGAATGGTCAAACTACAAAGGAAGAAAAAAAAGCATTCAAAATAAAAATAACAATAATAAACAGTAATTCCTTATTACTCCTAGGAAAAGAGCTCAAAATCATTCCTCTTTGTTTTTCGAGGCAGGATTTCACTATATACCTTAAACTGACCTAAAATTCACTATGTAATCCAGAAACAAGCCTGGAAATCACAATCCTTCTGCCTCAACTTCCTGAGTATGGGAATAATAAGCATGTCTAACTTCTGTCAGTCCTGTGTCTATCTGTAAGGAAGACAATACAAAGCAGACGCGAGCACCGAGTCACTGTCCGCAGCGCTAGAACGAGGAGCTGCAGCTGTCTCCAGACAAGGAAGGTTCACACTGATCTCTACAGCTCCGAGTTATAGACAATGATTCCAGATGAAATAATACAGCTCTAGATTTCTAAAGATCACACTACTATAATATACTTGCTCAACCCTTCTGAAACAACAACCATTTTCCTGAGTTCTTATAACAAAAACTCCAGGTTATCTGAATTTAAGGTATCATAGAGAACATCTAATTCTCTATCATACGAGTAAAGATGCCATGTGGCAGTTTATGGTCAGCTCACAAGCTTCTTTATAATTTATCAGAGGGGCTAAAATTACAAAGAGCAGCTACTGTGACCTCTGAATCACAAACCTTTCTAACTGGATGAACCACATACAATGGAGAAGCTTTATTACTAGTACTTTTGAGATTTCTTGATCAATAAATGGTTTACTAGCTTTTTTACTCACCTAAAACTATAAGCCTTCCATAATACATCCAAGCTCAAAATCAAGCTGAATGTTAAAATCTTTCCCCAAATTCTTAATCAGTAGAATTGAGTTAGAGTCTGGGATTCATAATTTTTAAATATTCTCCACAGTACTTAATGGGTGCTTGCGAGTCTTAGAGTCTTATACTGCCCCTAACAGTCCATCTCTGCCGTTGTCCACAGTATTTAAACGGGGCTTGCAAGTCTTATACTGCCCCTAATAGTGAATCTTGGCCGTTCTCCACAGTACTTAATGGGGGCTTGCGAGTCTTAGAGTCTTATACTGCCCCTAACAGTGAATCTCTGCCGTTCTCCGCAGTATTTAAAGGGGGCTTGCGAGTCTTATACTGCCCCTAACAGTGAATCTCTGCCGTTCTCCGCAGTATTTAAAGGGGGCTTGCGAGTCTTACATTGCCCCTAACAGTGAATCTCTGCCGTACTTAGGCTTTGCGTCTCAAGGACTGCATTCCTCTCTTGAAGCGCTTTCCACTCTCAGGAGTTCTTTTCTAAATAAATCTACGTTAACTCTGCTAAAGAGAGACTGATTCCCTAGAGAATCTCGATACACAGACAATTAATTTGTTGCTAATACACACACACACACACACACACACACACACACACACAGAGTTGCAACTTTATATACATAGTTGCAACTATTTTAATAAATTCAATTCCGTGTACTTGCTGGTTTATTACAACTGAAAACAGAATTGCAAATAAGTTTTTCACGTTAATTCCAATTATTTAAATATTCTAGTCTATTGAAAAATATACACCAGAATCATTTAGTGTGCTGTACCTAGAGGGAGAAGATGGAAAGGTCTTGATGCATTACCCAGGCTACCTTTCAACTCCTAACCCTTAGCCTCTCAAGCACTGAGATTAGAGGTTTGTGCCACCAGGTCTGGCTCTGGGACATTAGTACTTCTGAGTAAAATTATTCCACAATGTAAAAGGTTTACCTATTAAAACAAATGGTTGAAAAATGAAATTACAGCCTCAGAACTAATAAAATGAGTGCAAAAGCCTTGTCAAGTTAACATTTCACTGTAATATTCACTTGCCTATTACTCTGTACTGAAAACCTTTTTTTTTCTGACTTCCCACACGCATAGGGAAAATAAATCAATTAAACCAGCATCTGAAATAATATAGTAAAATTTTAAAAATGGATTTTTCCCATTAATTTACCTCATTTGTTAATTGAAAAATCAGAGAACAAGACAGAGCTCATAGACATATTTTTAGGCATGACGGTTTGTAGGCTGGACGAATCCCAGAACAAAAAACTAAACTTTGAAAATTATAAAATAAGAAATGTTTTAACCACTCTTTAAATATCTAATTAATACATTCACTAAATAAAAGGAGAATGAGTGCACCATCGTGCACACAAGTAGTAAAGCTTGCAGCCTTTGCTCCTAAGGCTCAGTCACCTGTCCTTTCTACCACCTTTCAACGCCACAGTGAGTTACAACAAAACAGAACCATGTGCGGACATTCCTTAAATTTAACATCCCAGGACCTAAAACTTACCAAATGCAATCCTTCTGGAATAGGAAGACAACACTCTCATATTACACAATTACAATATTCAAGCTGATTCTAAGTTGACCCAAGAACATCAACTCATTTTTATGAACTAATAAAATTTTAATTATCAAAAGGATCATTTATCCAGGGTCTAGAATTATATTACTTTGCATGAGTCAATAGGTCTTTTCATATAGATTTTGGATTCTACTAAAGCCTGGTTGAATGTTTGTGTTTTAAAGTAACGAGGGGATTACCTTGAGCAGAGAAGGGCAAGTATGTCTTCAGCTGTGCCGATCTGGACGGGCAGGCGTCTGGAAATGCAAATAAAACCACTCTTTAGATAGCAAGTCTTACATCTATAGTTTACCGAACAAGTACACCCTACCCATACCGACATTTAAAAATAATGTGATTATTTCCAGTAACAGAAGAAAACATTAAATTTTGAACACAAAGCCCTTTACATACTATTATACACACTTCTCCAAACGGTGGAACAGCGACTGGGAGCCCACCAAGCCCCCTCCCCCTGCACCCGGTGCACTCTCGGCTCTCTGGACTCCAGGAACAACCGCTGTAAAAGAAGGAATGGCATACCTGTGCCTTCATCAAGTTAAGAGAAGCAAAAACTGCCCGAAACCAAAAATAAGTTTCTGGTAGAATTTTGAAAGGTAAACACACGTGTGAAACTAAGTTTGGGCCCAGTACCCAATTCTCGGCTACCATACTAGTTTTAAATTTTATTGTCATCTGTCTGTGCCAGTGAATTAAGCAGAATGATCGGGGTTTTTGAATTCTTTTTAATTATGGATCAGGTGTTAACTGTACCCAGGACCACTTGTAAAGAAAAATTCCAACACAAGTTTCAAAAGCACCGATAAGATCATTTCTTACTCAATGTATATGTTGCCAGATGCCTGCTTGAAGCAGAACTCTGTCTCAGGTGTTTGAGGGGATAAACACAAGCTCTCCTGCCATAGAGGAATGTAAAATGGAACTGGAAAATCAGTGTAAAAGTGTGAAGTGGTATCTGAGAACCACCAAAGTAAAAAAATAGTAAGTGTGAGGCAGAGCAAAGCTGGGTGGGGTGCGAGGCTTGGACTGGCTCCACTGCTGCCAATAAAAAAAAAAAAAAATGTGATAACGGCTTGAGTTATAGGATCAACTTAGAGACCTCGTGCTTGAGGGTACGAAGGTAGACAGTGGTTTTAACCAGATTTGGGGAATCAGTAGAATTTACTTACAATAGGGTTAGGGAAAAATTGTCCGAGAAACAAACAAACATAGGTATAAAAACAAAAAGGTGTCGAGTACATTTGAAGATAGTAAATTACTAAATTCTGCTGAATCAAAGGTTTGATTTGAGAATTTAAGGGGCAGCAAAACAGAAAAAGTGGGGTGCGTTTTGACACGGCAAAACTCAGAAGTCAACCAAAAAAGAGTAGGAATTTTTTTACAAAAGGTATATTAATGGTTTAAAGAAATTTTATAAAAGGAAAATATGTTATTTTTCACTCAAGACTTTTCTGTTGCACAATGGTAAAAACAAGTAAATTGCGAATATAAGTTGCAATCCTATCTTATCATTTGTCACGTTTTACAGGAAGGGATTGATATCGGATATTCCATTCTATCACCCTCTGCTTTCGTTTAAAAACATATGATAAACACCTTTCCACACCACGACATATAATTTCAAAATGGAATGTGTAACGGCTGTTTAGTCCTTCATTTTATTTGTGCAAGACAAAAATTACTCTCATCAATAAGATAAGAACCAGTAGTTGGTGAGCCTATAATTTTTAAAACACATATATACATAATCTTAGTATTTTAACTTAAAATGTATAATATATGTTTGTGTGTGTGTGTGTGTGTGTGTGTGTTTAAAATTGGGTTAGGGTTTTTTGCTTCACTGTTTAGAGAGTTTTTGTCTTTTTTCTTCGTGAGGGCAAATTAACCTGTATTTCAAGCCACGTTTCCTTCAGAGACCGAGGGCTCACTCGCAGTGAGTTCCCTTTAACCGCTGCGAAACAGAACAAGAGCCTAAACGCATCTTCAGACCCAGGAGCAAAATTATGATTGTTTTCCATTTTCCCCACCTCTTCCAGATGTCACACCCAGGTACAGCTTTTAAAAGAAACGCCTTTTTTAGTCCAAAGCAGTCTACTTATTTTTCATAAAGATTCTAATGCCATTTTTAATGACAGCGTTCACACTCTTCATTCATTGGATTTTGTAACAGATAAATTGTATAAACCAGTCTAGGGCAGTGAACTGATATGTCTGAATTGCCTGGGATGCTACTACCGTTGCTTCTTTCTTTCTTTCCTTCTTTCTTTCTTTTTTTTGTAAAAAAATCTCTTGCATATCTGAGAAGTGTACTGGGTGAAGAGATAAACCAATAATATTGCTGACTTGGCTTGGAATTATATTGCCTTTCAATTGACTGTCATTGTAATGAGAACTAGCAAAATTCAGAATCCTCATAGGAAATACTTCTCAGTTGCCTGACAAAAGACATCAACTTAAAAATAAATAAATAAATAAATAAATAAATAAATAAATAAATAAATAAATAAGAAAAGACAACAGAAAGCTATCTTTTAGAATACAACAATCTGAGCTGGTTATGATGGTGCA